GTAAAAACAACACAGTCATTTCTCCTCAATACAACAGAAAACTTAAACTACTGAGATTGTCCAAAAAAACTGATGCATTGTTTTGAGAGATTTTAAGTTTCCGTCACTGCACGTGTTCAAACAGATTAGAGCTAAGTCCTAATACAGGGGCTCGCAGCTAAACAATGACCTTCCCCTCTCCTACTGTAGATCCACTCAGCTCCCTCACCCATGATCATTACCCACTAATCTGTTTACTCATTCAAATATTTACGGAGTCCTGTTCTGTGGCAGGTCCTGTTCTAGGAGCTGGGGATATTTCAGTTAACAAAATGGAGCAAACTTTTGCCCCTGTAATGTAAATCCCATCATATTTTAGAGGTAACAGATACAGAGAAGGGAAGGAATTGGTCTGAGCAAGGAGGCTGGGAGGGGACTTGGGCTGAGACTTAGACAGGGTGTCACTGAGGGTGACATGGGAGAGGCCTCATCAGGAAGAGATGACAAACACGAGTTCTAGGAAAATGAGCTGTCATCCTACGGCTAGATAATCACGTGACCACTAGCCTAATCCATGTACTTCTGGACTCACTTCCCCCCAGCTGGCCTTTATAGCTGTGCACAAAAGAGCAAGGGCCAGTTAGAGCCCCAAGTCTGGCCCTCCTCACATACCTGGAGCCAGGCTTTCCCTACTTCAGAGCAAGTGCTTGCCACTGGGTTCACTTATCAGGGCCAGCTCTCATCCATCAGCACCCCGCCTCCCGTGGGCCTCTAGAGGAAACAAACTCCCCACAGTCTTCTTTTTTCATTCAAATTGCACGTTGCTCAGATTCCAAAAGCTCTACAAAGTGGGAGGGCTGAAAAGGTTAATGTCAGAGAATTGGGACCCAAGGGCTGCCACAACTGCTGGGCATTCCAGGGCACAAGAAACATGTGGCAAGGAACAAACGAACAAACAAAAAAACCTCAAACACAACTTGGTTCTAATCTCAAGCCTCCCAGCCATCAAAATACATAGGACGTTAGAAAAACACTCAGTAATCCTCTTATTTTCCGTAGTTTCAAAAGACAATGTTCACTTTTCAACCCTCTCTTTCTAGGAGAAGACCTCTTCTTTTTTTTAGCCTAAGAAGGGGTTGTTCTTCTGTGGCAACGACTTTGAAACACACGGAGCAGCTTCCCTTAAAGGCTTCCAGTTTGGGGTGCCAGGGGAGATACAGAAAGATACTGATGCCAGTCCCTCCAGTAGAGTAACCCAGCAGAGTTCATTCCCCCCAGTGAACAGATCCAACAGAACACCCAGCACTTGCACTGGGCAGCATTGTATTAAATAGTACACTGCATGTTTCTAGGCTCACTTCGGAGCCCTTGCAACAAACACGACTAAGTATATTATAAAAGTGTCAACAACCCGACCTCCAGAAAGTGACTGCAATAACAATATCTAGAAAATGAGGCACTCTGATAAAAAGCCCCTGAGAGGCCCATACCCCTAGAGCCTATTTACTCCCCAAGTTCAACTAAAGCACAATCAGACTTGAAACTTTTTTTTTTTCCTCTGGTTTCTAAGGTGCCACTGCAGCTCCATGAAGGCCGCTGGGAATGACTTTCCTGGGGCTACCAGGAGACAGTCTAGCATTTTCAGTCTTTCTGGAGGCACTGTCCTCAGGGCCTCACAGGAGCCAGTGAGCAGAAGAGAAACAGAGAACTTTGGAATTTTATTACCCAAAAAGGCTTTGCGGTTCCCTGATTCTGTGACCACATTCATGACCTGGGTGCCTGGGACCTAAGCAGCTGGCAGAGTGACAGTGGGGGGAGGAGGGGGTTAGGGAGATGAAATGAGAGCCCTCATCTGCTTTTTCTGCAATTCATAGGAAACTCTGAGATACCAGAAAGGAAAGGTCACTTCTAATGAGCTCCTAAGAAGCCTCCCTGGGAAAGAGGTGGTGCTCTCAACAACCTGTTCCTACTTTAAAGCCCTCTCTAGGCTTTAGGGTGAGCACACAACCAAATTTCCTGAGACAGTCCTGTGGATTGATGTCTGCTGAGAGGGCCCAGTCACTAAGAGCTCCTGACTTCATTCTCCCAAGTATCACAGCTTGGACGCTAGATTACATGGGTCCCCTAAGGAAGTGTGACTGAACTCTAGAGCATATTTTGCTGGTTCACCTGCTTCATGGAACACAGATCTCTCCAAGCCCACCCCTGGCTTCAGGACACCCTATGTGCAAATTCTTTCCACGTCTCTGTGGTGTCCAGCAGTGGGAGAACCAGTAGCGCAGCACGGGGAGGTGGAGGCCAACTGCCTGGGTTTCTATCTCAAGTCCCTCACATTTCACAGCAGCTGAGACTGTGAACAAGTTCTTTATAACATCTTCTCTTTGAAATAAAATGGCGAAAGAAGTCATTGCTAAGTTAATATTTGTAATCAGTTAATACTTGTAAAGTGCTTACTTAGACCAGTACCTGAAACAGGATAAGCACTCTATAAATGTGTGATAAGTAAAAAACAAATATGCAGCCTTTATGTCTAATGGGTAGGTGAATTTCTATAAAGGGATGGGGGGAGGGGGAGCCCTTTTCAAAACAGTTTCCAGTTGCCCTCCCTTCTCAAGGACTTCTTGCTGACATAAATAAAACCTCCCTGCCTGGTCCCGGGTGGTGCTGGCTAGGAACAGAGTGCTGCAGGGCTGGAATGGAATGACCACTGCTAGGAGGATGCCCTTTTTCCCCAGCAGCATATAATCAACTACAGTTAAACCCGTTCAAGCAGAACAAAGAAACAGAGGCAACTCTCCTGGGTTGCCGTTGGCGGTCAGAAGTCCCCAAATATCTCCATCGGTAGGTGGTTTTATGTGCTTAACGTGCAGAGAACTCTTTACCTCCTCACATATCTGGCAAATGTGATTGCACACTTACGTATGTGATTCAGGACTTCGAGCATCAAAGGTGCTCTGACAACAGCCAATTTTAGATGAAATTCAGAGCAACCAATTTAAGATGAAAACATCTCAGTACCTATCTCATGCATAAAATTCCATGTGACGAACTGTTTAAAAAAAAAATCTTACTTCCTCAGAGAGACACCTCTCCCCCAGAGACAAATCAGGTGTTTAGCATAATCATCTCATGGAAGTGGGCTGCACCACACCATCGTACTGAAAGCAGAAATTACCGATCATCTAGATATTTGACTTTGAGAACATCAGCTTAGTCATTTCGCTTTCACTGTTGTCACAGTTCTGCCTTTCATATCATTTCAACCTTTCAGACATGATTTGAACACTCTATTAAGATGAGAAATTCCTTTAGAAAGGAAGCTTCTTTGGAAAGCACTGGGTCCCTGAAGCAGTCTCAGCTACATAACAGGACACAGCACCACACACACTAAAGACCAGGGAGAGGCAGGAAAATGGAACGCTAGATAATTTTATCAAAAGCTGATTTGAAAAGGTGGCTGGGAGGCGGGCACTGCATGCATTAAGTACAGATTCATTGGTGTTTAGGGAAACAGCCCTTTCAGATTCACTTCCCCCTTGTTCTTTTTGGTGAGTCACAGAGATGTGATACCTAAGGTTTTAAGATTCTCAACAAATGCAAAGAATTCAAGTGAGAAGGCACCACACAAAAATACTAAATAAGAAACCACAGAACAAAATCGTGGGCACCTGGGTGGCTCCGTCAGTTAACCACCAGCCTTCATTCAGCTCAGTTCATGATCCCAGGGTCCTGAGATTCAGCTCCCCCATAAGGCTCCCTGCTCAAAGGGACATCGGCTTCTCCCTCTCCCTTTGCCCCTACCCCTGCTAGGGCACTTGCTCTCTCTCTCAAATAAATAAATAATCTTAAGGAAAAAACAAAAAGTCTGCCTGGAGCAAGAAGCTTTTCGAAACATCAACCTTACTTTCGAGTGCTAAGAAGACGTTCCCATCCAATATTTCCTAATAATCATCTTTTAATCAACTAAGAAAACCAAGTCATTTCCAGCACAGATACCCAACTATTAAAGTTTTACAGGCCTCTAAAATAGAAAACACAGAAAGGAGTGTAAGTATTCATAACCCAATCACTCTGATTTCATTAATTTAATGCAAATTTCCTTCAAAGTAACGAAGATGAGCAGGGAATTGGACAAACCCTAATTCAGACTCCACACCCCAGGACCCTACTAGCTCACATTTTAAAAAACCCGCTTTAGAAAAAAGGGGGAGCCCCCCCCCATCAGGGGGCGCAACTTCCCAGCCCCGGGGCAGGGCGGGGTGGGTTGGAGCGACGGCAGGAGCGTTGATTTCACCGGGCGCTGCCACTGCCAGTGGCTTCAACAAGTTCCCTCTCTAGGCTTCCAGAAAATCACGCCCAACACCCGAACTCTCCGCGGAATTTTTCTCTCCAAACTGAAGACCGTGCGCTTCATTTTCACACGCAGGAATGCTTCCTCCCGCTCTTCGCGGCTACTTCCCTGGTATTCCGTGACATTTTCCCACAACTACGAGTCCGCGCGTTCGCACCTCCGCCCTCCAGCCCACTCCAACCTCGAACCGCACGCGGCCTGGACTCTGCGCCTGCGCCGCTCCCGGGACCACCGCCCCCTCCCCCCGCCGCGCGGAACCCCCTCCTTCCCGCCCTCCTCGAGGGAACTTGGGGTACAACGCATAAAGGTCACTCCTGAGTCCTCCAGACCGCCGCGACGAGCGAGAGAAAAAAGCCAGCCCGGAGCGCGGGAGAAGGGGTGCGGGGAAGCGTAGGCGGTCTTGGGTGGGGAACGGGAGGGGAGGCCAGGGGGGAGCCCGGGGCGGGGGTTCCGGATGGGACCGTGTCACCAAGATCCCCACACATTCAGCAGCCGGACTTATGCAAGTCCGCGAGCCTGTGGCTCTCCACCGCTCGACCTCTCGGGTTCTCCCGGACGGTCTTTCGGGGACGTCCCGGCACTGCACCCCGCTCAGCCCCCGGCATTGTTCGCGCTCCGCTAGCGCGTCTGAGAGGCGCCCGGGGAAGCGCGGCCCGGCCTCGGCCCCTACCTCCACGAGCAGCCCGAGCAGCAGCGCCGCCACCCTCCGGGGCAGGCGGCTCATGGCTCCGCGTCCTCTCCGGGTGTGCCCTGCTATCAAGTGGCAGGCGCGAGTCGGCAGCGGCACGTCCCCCGTGGGCCGGGCGAGAGGGCGGGGGGCGGGGCGGGGGTTCGCACCCCGGGCCAGCCGGAGTTGGGGGCGCGGGGCGGCTGGCGGTTGCGAAGCCGAGACGCGCCGCGCCGCCCTGGCTGTTCTCCGCCTGACGCTCCGCCCCCCGGCTCGCGCGCGCTCCCGGCACGCCCGCTTGGGCACGCGCCCGCGGGCACCGCGGTCCCAGCCCGGGCGGCTAACGCTGCTGCTCGGCGCCCGGGTGCGCGACGCCTGGATGCACCCGCCGGCAGCGGGGATAGGGCTTGCGGGGCCAGGCGGGTGGGAGAGGAGCTGTCAGGTGTCTCCTCCCTCGACAGAGACCGTCCTGTCACGCTCGAACAGACCCAGGGAGGTTTTTAACAGAAGCCAAGTCTTCGCGTGGTGAAGCGTGTTTCGGAGGGAGGTGGCTGTAGAGGAAGGAACCTGTCGCTCCGTCTTGCGTCCAGGGCTTCTCTGTTCTTCGCTCCCCCTCCTCTTCCTACCGAGAGTGCACTCTGCCCACTTGTAACAGAAAGGACAGCCCAAGGGAGAGGGAGACCGGCTGTGAATAGAAGGCTCCTTACACCTCACTTCTCATTAAGATGTCGGTGCTTTCTAGGTCTGCATTCTTCTCCCCTGCTCCTGCCTGGCTCCACCGCAATCGGTCCCTCGTTACCATCTGCCCTCCTACTGCTGAGTGTGGATGTCCTTCAACTCTGCTGAACCACCTTGCCACCTCCACTACCTAGCACCCACCATTTTTTTCTTTTTCACAAAGTGGCTCAGATCCCAGCTCATCAGTAATTCAACAAGCATTACTGAACTTGTAAGATGTACCAGACCCTGAGCCGGAGGGCCAGTGTGTAGAGGTGGGCTCCTTGAAAACTTATGCCTGAAGTTTAAAGGGATGGTCACTTACATGACTATGACACATACAGGGTGCTGAGTGGAGACACCAAGGGGTCAAGGGGCGTAAATCATGACTGGGAGGTAGAGGAAGGAGTCATGGAAATACATATCACCTAACACGAGTCCCAGGCACTTTCTAGTCTTCATCACACGTACTCATCTGATGACTTTAAAATATGCACCACTCAGGGTCCAAACCATGGCAGAGAAGCTCCAAAGAGTGCGAAGGTTGCTCCTGGACAGTTGTATTGCAGAAACTGAAATCCGGGGGTGATGTAACCACAGGACGGTGATCCACTCTAAAGCACGGATTATTACAGAAGCTGGGCGGATAGTGATTGCTTAAGGTAACCTCCTAGAAAAACAGGTGCTAGTCCTCAAGGCTAACCATGAAAATAGGAGATAATGTTATCAAATCAAAAGCATATTCGGGCAGAAACGTAATATTGACAGGTGCTTGCATCATTGGGGTTTGGTGCAATCTGAATGTGTCTGAAGTCATCCCTGAGAATACAGAGTGATCTGTGGGGCTGACTGCCTTTGTGGGGTGCAGACTGAGTGACCACAGCCCCAGATACTACGGCTGAATTTCCTGATGAAAACCTTGCTGAACTACCACCACCTAAAGAAGACTATGAAAAGAAGGTCAACTCCAGTTAGGAACTAAAAACAATATATGGGATCAAGATAACAGTTTGTCTTTGACCACTACCTTTTGAAAGGACCACAGTGTTCCTTCCCACCCACCCCACCCACCCCCGGCCCAAAGTATTTTTATTAGGGATTCCTGCCACCATATTAACATATAAAACAATCTGGATGTTGACATAGAAATGCAGATTTTACTATACAAAGATAAGACTCCAATCACAGGTAACATGGCCCCCATTTCTCTAGTATTTCAATGAAATCACCTTTTGAGGGCACCTGGGTGGCTCAGTGGATTAAAGCCTCTGCCTTCAGCTCAGGTCATGATCCCAGGGTCCTGGGATCGAGCCCCACATGAGGCTCTCTGTGGGAGGGAGCCTGCTTCTCCCCTTTCACTCTGCCTGCCTCTCTGCCTACTTGTGATCTCTCTCTGTCAAATAAATAAATAAAATCTTAAAAAAAAAAAAGAAATCACCTTTTGAATTCTTCCCAGAGTTGTCTTTATAAATATTAGACAAACCACAAAATATATTCCAAATATATTAACATTTTACAGTATGTTCCAACCCCAGACAGAAATACACGATACTTTACCCACATTTTTTCCCAAGATCCAACTTGCATTAGCACTAAAGACAAGACTGTGTGTGTGTGTATATATTCGCCATATATATGTGTATATAAAACCACAAATGTACACATGGTTGTTTTCATGGAAAATTGAAACATTTGAGACTGTGGGTTTTATCTCATGATATCTGAGAGGGAACAGGAATAATAACATGTCACAAACTCCTCAAACTGGGGAAAAATAAACACAACTATGTATGAAGAGCATATCAGTTGTGTGTATACGAATATACACATATATAAAGATTCATATATAAACACAGCTATAGCGATAATACGGTATATACACATACACACTTGTTCTGAATTCTGTATCTCACTATATTATATACTCTCCATCTTTGGAAGCACTTTTCTCCTCTTTTGATCCAGGCAGCTGGAGACTCTCTCCTAACAAAACTGAGTGGGTATTTCTAAAATGCTGATTCTATTCTGAATGCCACAAAATGGCATCTCAGGATCCCAGTTTTATGTTTGGTGGCTATTGCTTAAATTCAGTAGACCCTATTCTTTTAACTTCTTCGCTTAAAAACATTTCTATTCATTAATGATGTTTCTGCCTAAAAGAGATGTTAGCTGGAAATGCTAAAATATATTGATTACTCCCCAGTATACATCTGCATGGTTGGATTATGGGTAGTATTTATCCCATCAGTATTTTTCAGTGTTTTATGATGGGCAATATATTACATACTTCCATAATTTAAAAAAATATTACTTTAAACTTAACAGTTCACAGAATAACACATGTTGACTTTATTTTGTAAAATTGAGTCAGAGGAAGGTAATGGATTTCACTGTAACTGTCCTCTATAATTTATATAAAATACCTTATTTTCCTATATCCTTGCTTCTTTTCTGAGAATTTACAGGTTTAGTTTATTTTTCTTTTTCATATAAAATATTGGCCATGGATTTTAGTTGTATAAAGGACTCCCCATGATAAGAAAGGGTATATTGTTACGTATTTATATTCTAGCAAATATTGTACTAAATAAAAATGCTAATGGCAGGACTTTTAGTGAACACAATTTTAATCAATTTTTCTATTTGTGTTAACTTTCCCAAAGTAGATCTTTTCATTTTTATTGCATACTATCTACATTAAAGCTGATGTGTTTATTTCCTCCTATTTTTTAAGATTTTTTTTTTAATTTATTTATTTGACAGAGATCACAAGTAGGCAGACAGGCAGGCAGAGAGAGAGAGGAGAAAGCAGGCTCCCCACTGAGCAAAGAGCCCAATATGGGGCTCGATCCCAGGACCCTGGGATCATGACCTGAACCGAAGGCAGAGGCTTTATTAACCCACTGAGCCACCTAAGTGCCCCTATTTTCTCCTTTTGTGGTTTTGGAGCAGTTTAAAATTTCAGGTGAAATTTCAGCAGCTGTTGAATTAATTTGACTTCATTTTGTTTCCAAGAAAAAATTTTTATTTTCATTTTAGTAAAACAGAAATAATTAGGGAAAGATGTATTCAGTAGCATAGAAATCAGTAAGAATCATCGCTGATGAAAATGACAAGTAAATGATCATTAAATGGTCCTGGTTTCTGAGGACAATAAAACTAAAAGAAATTTTGATATATTTATAAACTTATGAGATGATTTTGGTACACTGCTAGAGACTCTCAATGTTGTTATAATTTATTTAATTACAGAATGGCAACATCTTTAAGATTTTATTATAACTAAGTTTTTTTTTTCAAGATTTTATTTATTTATTTGACAGACAGAGATCACAAGTAGGTAGAGAGGCAGGCAGAGAGGCGGGGAGGAGGCAGGTTTCCAGCTGAGCAGAGAGCCCGATGTGGGGCTTGATCCCAGGGCCCTGAGATCATGACCTGAGCCGAAGGCAAAGGCTTTAACCCACTGAGCCACCTAGGTGCCCCTATAACTAAGTTTTAATAATTCAAGTGTGTACATTTGATGGAATATTTTAACTTTTGAATCAATAGCTATTAATACTAAGACATTAAATACTAAAACATTTTCACTTGAAATAAATAAATAAATGAAATAAAGTAAAATAAGCACCGCTGAACTGTACCTATTAGAACCAGAACTTGCAAGAAAAACAGGCAAGATGACTGTGGGCTTCATTGTCATGGTAAGGGCACCATCAGACAAGCACACCAAGGGTCTTTGGACTCTCCTAACTTTGATTTACTGTTTACCATTAGGGCGTTTTACTACCTTTTTAAGGGCAGAAATTAACGTATAGAAAACTAAGCTGCAGGGCGCCTGGGTGGTTCAGTGGGTTGAGCCACTGCCTTCAGCTAGGGTCGTGATCGAGCCCCGCATAGGGCTCTCTGCTCAGCGGGGAGCCTGCTTCCCTTCCTCTCTCTCTGCCTGCCTCTCTGCCAGCTTGTGATCTCTCTCTGTCAAGTAAATAAATAAAAATCTTTATTAAAAAAAAAAGAAAAAGAAAACTAAGCTGCAAGCTTTGTTATATAGCAGAGATGCAAAAAATTTTTTTTCTCTAATGGCAATGTAAATCCTATAAAAATACAAATGACCTCTGTTAGGGTGAGAACCTTAGTCAAGGATTTACAATTTAGCAACCCAAGCCAATTTAACACTCTCAACCCATGAGTTTCTATCTCCCCCCTGCTTCATTGGCTATATACACACCAGTTGCCTGCATTCTCCTTCAAAGAAGCTTCATATCCGACCAGTTCCTTCATTAATAGAACCCTGACATGTATATACCATGTACTGGCATGTATTGTTATGTATGTGAATTACATTTCCTATTCCATTTTGAACATTATGCTGATGCCTCCCTCCTGGTTCTGTATCTCCACTGAGAAGACTGTTCTGCTGAGTTTGACTTCCTGTAATTTATGTAAACTTCTTTCAAAATAGAAAATTAAAACTTTGTGATGCTTTCTTCCCAGTCTGCTATCTC